CACATAGGGGCCTAACAATCCCCCTATGTGATAGCACAGGCACACTGGCAGGTCCTCTTCATGGAGACATTAGGGGTTTCTAACACCCCTAATGTCACCTGGGGACCCCCAAAGAAGCTGATGAAGCTGAGATCTGCTTCATCAGCTTCTTCTCTGGCTATAGCAGCCAGAGGAATGACAGCTGAATGCAGAAGTGATGTAATACACATCACTTCCGCATTCAGGCATCGGAGAGAAGATCAGCAAGGAGGAAGATGCTGATCTCCCTCCGATCCTCCTGCTGACACTCACCAGAGCTGGTCCTGGGCTTGCAGAGGGGACAGCAGAGCCCGGGATGGAAGGTAAGGGCGTTGCAGGGGGGGCGGCGCTGCCGGAGGGGGGGCGCACTGAGCAGGACAGCACATACAAGCAATCGGATGGCTATAGAGCCGCCGATCGCTTGTATGTATAAAAGCCGCTTACCGGCTGTTTACATGCTGCCTTTTTCTGTTGTAAAATGCAGCTAGAAATTCGTAAATTCGGAAGCATCCGAAATCTGAATCGCAGTTTCTGAATTATATCCTGTTAACGAATTTCGGATCCAAATTTCGTTGAAACAGGAACTAATATTACCCCTGTAAATGAGGTTGAACAACATGACAAGATTTTTTTTTATCTGAAATACGAAATTCGGATCCGCTGCGGCTGAGGGTTGCATTACAATACAGGCAGGAAATACGAAATTCCGTTAACGTATTTTCGTTCCGTTATGAACATTCGTTATGATGAAGTTAAAAAGCAAAATACCTTTGTTAATATATTGGAGTTGATGCCTTGATGGTAGTTTTTTTTAAAATCTGAAATACGAAATTCGGATCCGAAATCCACTAACGGAATTTCGTATTTCGTTTGGTTGACCAATCAGAGGTTTTCTCTTCTGCTGCTGAGGGTTGCATTACAATACAGGCAGGAAATACGAAATTCCATTAACGTATTTTCGTTCCGTTACGAACATTCGTTATGATGAAGTTAAAAAGCAAAATACCTTTGTTAATATTGGAGTTGATGCCTTGATGGTAGTTTTTTTTTTATTATCCGAAATACGAAATTCGAATCCGAAATCCGTTAACGGAATTTCGTATTTCGTTTGGTTGACCAATCAGAGGTTTTCTCTTCTGCTGCTGAGGGTTGCATTACAATACAGGCAGGAAATACGAAATTCCATTAACGTATTTTCGTTCCGTTGCGAACATTCGTTATGATGAAGTTAAAAAGCAAAAATACCTTTGTTAATATATTGGAGTTGAACAGAATTTCGTATTTCGGATTTTAAAAAAAACTACCATCGACTCCAATATTAACAGAGGTATTTTTGCTTTTTAACTTCATCATAACGAATGTTCGTAAAGTTACGAAAATGTGATGAAACTAACGAAAATTTGTATTTTGTACGAATCCGAATTGAGTTTCCGACACGAATTACGAAATACAAAATAATGGATATTCTGAAACGAAACTAATTTTCTGACGGCGCACAAGTCTATTTTCTGCTCGGGCGCACACGCAAACCCTAGAGCAGAGAAGATGGCTTTATGGCTCCGCGTTGATAGGAGCTTGCCGTTCGCCCATTTTTTTTACAACGGGCGGATGGTAAGTGGTTAATAAATACAGCTGTTCAATCAAGGACTAGTTTATATGAGAGTACTTTTCTTCATCATGCAGAAGCACATAAAAAAATGCTTTTGCCTTATGTTTTGCCATTTTAAGTGTATTTATAGGCATTGACATTTTTTTGTGTTTACATGCATTTTTTTCTACTCAAATGTCATAGGCTCCATAGGCATAGGCTCCTTCTGCCGTCAGTCAGGCTGTGACTGCAGGATGGGGGCATTGGCTGCACTCTGTGTGTGTCTCTATGGAGCAGGCACGGCAATGACCATGCAAATACGGGTGCCTCCACAGCAGTCGATTAGCTGATAGAGACACCCGTACATGGGAGGAGCCTAGAGGTCTGGATACCACTTGAGAACGATGACATTAAAAAATTAATTGAAAAAATGAAAAAAATCGCGAAGGTTTAATATCACTTTAATGTTTAATCTTTTTGAAGCATGTGTTAATGACTTGGCATTTCACACAGTTTTACCTCTATTGTACACATCAATTACTGTGCAAATGAACCAAGGGAATGTTATTGGTGAAGGCATGTGAAATATAGTACTGTAGGGCCCCCATTGCTTTGTAGACCTAGTTAGGTTGGGACTGGGAACTGAAATGCTAATGTTCACCTACAGAACCCCTGTCTTGAGCTTTTCCTTGTTTATTTTACATATACTGTAACTGTGGCCTTCATGACTACATCATCAGCAACAAAACAAAAACCTGCACAGGGTGAAGATAAACCCTGGAATAATTTTAAGAAAGTTGTAACATAGTAACATAGTAACATAGTATTTGAGGTTGAATAAAGACATAAGTCCATCAAGTCCAACCTGTTGTGTGTGTGTGTGTGTATAGTCCATGAGTGTTCTCATTCTTAAGAGTACCTGTACCCTTGTACATTTCGGTCTCTCAGAAAGTCGTCCAAAAGCCTCTTGAATGATCCCATATTAATTGCGGAAATTACCACTTGAGACAGTGAGTTCCAGACCCTAACCGCACAAACTGAGAAGAACCCCCTTCGCCCCTTGTGTTCGAATTTTTTTTCTACCAGTTTTAGGTGGTTTCCTCTAGTCTTTGTTATCCCCCCCTCCATGACAGCCTGGTGCGTAGACTGATTTACATTTTGGTGTCCATCTGTGCGACAAATAAGGCAACTAGTGACAGATTCATCTACTGTACCTGTTGGAATCGTGTCCGGTAGGAATAAAATCACAGGCTTAGCATTACTACACTCCCTACGCAACTACTGCACTTTTCACACAGGCAGGTGCATTGGTTGAATAGTATTGCTCTGGGTGGGTGGAGCCTGAAGGGGAACTCTGAAAGACTAGTTCCCCATCAGGTCTACCTCCCTTGTAGATGGCGGTGGGCAGATTCCATAGCGCTAGTAGGTTGAACCTGATGGGAACTATCCTCTCAGCTTTCCTATCAGGCTCTGCCAACTGCCGTTCAACCAACTGGTTGCTAGGAGGCTGTTAGCTGTGCAGCTGACAGCCTCCTAGCAACTAATGATGCATTTCTGGCCCCATTCAGTTGATGGCTAGGATATTTCCTGGGTAACAGTTGAATGTAAACAAAGTGGCGGAGATCCTGGCTGGCATCATTATTCAAATATGGCCATTACCATAATTTTGTAATGGCCACACACGATTGGGCCACCAATATAGAGGGGTACAACCTGTTCAGGAGGGACAGAGGGGGGAGAAGGGGGGGGGAGTATGCATTTATGTACAGCACCAGCTGGTGGGCAACTGAATGGGTGCTGGAAAGCATTTTTGTTTGCTAGGACACATTCATGGTGGCTTCCCAGCGCATACATGCCTCACTATGAGCACTGACGTTTCTCTATATGCTAGCTTACAGTTGGTCTTAATTACTGCCAATTTCCCAATCTGTAAACTGGTGGTAATTCTTTTTGAATCTGTGGCAATGATGTGTTCTTAAATTGGTGGTAATAAGAACTACCTATATTTGTCCCGCATGTTGGAACTGCAACCAAAACTGTCACAAGGTTTTCTTGAAATAGGTGTGGGTTGTTTTAAAGGGACTACAGCCAGAAAAGTGTCAGAGATGCATTATTGAGTTTCCCCAAATATGATTTAGCACTTCTCCCGGTAAAAAAGCCAATCATATGTAGATATTACTTTCTAGAGATTGATTAAAGGGCTACATCCATCAGTATTTTATATATGTTTTTTTAGCCCCATGATTACATTCTTATTAAGCAATATATTTCACAGTGGATCTTCTATCTGTATATTTCTATAATGAACCAAATATGCTTTATTAAATAAATTGAGTGCAACGTTATTAATTTCACAACTTCACTTTACATGGCGTTCAGTGGATTTCAAGTACTAAACAAATATTAATTATCTTGTCTTTGATCATGATTTATTGACGAACACTTTTTTGTCTTTCTACAACCAGGGAATAATTAATTATGCTCAGAAGTTTATCCATGTCTAATTAAATTGCGCTTTCTCTATAGTCGCCTGTCTTATATTGACTTGCAAATTGTTACATTATTTGAAGAGAGATGAAGGACAAATAAGAGGAACAGAACACAAGAATTTAATGCATTATTTCTGAAATAAGTGCAACAATGCAGGAACCTGTAGGTAATGAGCCTTTGTGTTCTACACATCACTTTGCAAACCCTCAGCCACAGTCCCTTGGCTGAGTCAAACAGCAAAAGGTGATATAAGTGATGAAATGCCTGAAATTGGCTGGGTCACAGGTGAGCATTATTTTTTTTTGTGTCTTCCAGTCATATGATCAGCAAGCCCCATCTTCTTTTTCTCCAGTGTCAGTGTTGGCATAGAGCAGTGATTACATTGCACTGTGAGCCCATGCTGCATAATGATGCTAGCATGTGGGGGAAGGGGAGTCCTTGGCCTCACAAGAAATGTTTGTATGCTGCTCAGTGTCAATGACCCATGAAGTACTTTGGAAGTCTGTGCAAATGAATAAGCTGCTTTAAAGCAACACACTTTCATACGTGTTACAGCACTGCACTGGATTGGAAATGTCTGAATTGGTCCTTAGCATAAGCTTTGAAATGAACCCTCTAACACCCAAAATAACCCAGAAAATGTGGATCAGCAGTGCCCTAGTAAAAGGCTCTGTTACTTTGCCATAAAGCAAACAGTAATTAAGATCAACTGCTCATAAGCATACTGGAAGTTGCCAAACTCTGTCACTTTCCATCATCACATATCTATAAAAGCATATGTTGTATACTTTGCAAGGCTCTTCTTTTGACCGGGTGTTAAAGGGTGCTGATTCAAAACATTAATAATGTTTTTCAACATCTAAACAATATGCCGCCATATGAAAAATGCAAATGGTCAATTTACCTCTTGGGCTGTTGAGTGATGCTTCATTTGCTTTCTCACCATCCCCGCAGTGACTCTGATCAAATGGGAGGCATTGGTCCCCTGTGCCCGCTACCACTTCAAAGTTCTTTGCCAATTCCTTAACATCAGTAAGAGATTTCACTCTGTAAACTTTCCTGGTATTAGTGTCAGAAAGGTAAACAGACTCGGAGGAAGGATCCACAGTGAGATAATACTTGTGAGCAGGGCTAGTACTGAAAGACAAAATAGTGATAATTATTACTCAAAGGTGTTTCCTTTTTGTTCCTGTTCCTTCCTCTAATTTTACAGTGAAGATGTTTTATTTAATAATTTTTAATGTTCTCATTTATTAAATATTCTGATATTTTCTTGTAAGCTGAACCTGATACCAGGAGTTGGAGGGACAGCCCACTCAAAAGTAATTGACCAAATCTGATGGACCAAGTCAGCTTCTGGCTTTCTATATGTCTTAGATACCTCAACAGTGATATTCCCCTGCAATAGTCTCTAGCTCTTTTCTATCCACCTGGGAGTTCTGAGTGTTTCTGCCCACCTTTGCATGGGTCAACACTTACTGTTACATCCTCTATAATATACCTACAAATGCTACAGGGAGAGAGACAGCCCCACAGCATGGCCAGAGTAGGTGTACAATCCCAGAAATTCAAGTGCAGAGTCCACCTTTAAAGTCTCTGAGAAATAAAGTAAAAGAGAGTCTCAGGTAGTTTAATTCTCCATAATCTAACAAGAACTGAATAAATACTTTTGGGTGAACTGACCCTTTATTCAGTCAACAAAGGTATTAACACCTAACTCCCAGCATAGGCCAATCTATTGTGCTTATACATGGTATATAGGGTAAAATTGGTTTGATCTCTCAATGTTCCTTAAAATAACAGAAATTTACCAACATGTAATCCCAACAGTGCAGATAGTGGATGTTTATGCATGCTGTATGTTGCATCCCCTTGGCTTAAAGGCACAGGCAACCACTTAGAGTGCAATGTAAGGAAAATCACATATTAATTATGGTGCAACACCTCAACCACCATAGTCCTTCAGTGATAGGGAAAAGCTTTACTACGTTTTCTAGCTGTTCCACTATTATGTATCTGGGAGATGAAATCAGAAAGTCTTATATATAGGATGGTATTTGTATATTTAAGCTGTGATGCGATAATTAGCTTTACAAGTTCTGTATATAAAGCATATCCACTCTTACAAAGAAAAAATACAAATAAATGCCCCAAGACCCAGAATGTGGTCATTGCTCACATGAACATTATTTTTGTTAAAATTATTTGTAGTGAATGTGTTTAGGAGGAAGCCACTATTGCTTGTGTTTTGGACTGCACATAAAGATTTATGAGTACCACTGGCGGACACTGATTGACGTTGCCATGGAAATGGCTTGCTTGCAATTAGGGTTTCTGTTATGCCAGCAGACATTTTAATCTCTGCTAGCAGCAGGAACTGTGTCAAGGGCTTAGTAGCTATTTAGTGTACTTAGACGTTTCTGTATCCCCTGGGCCTCCGTTTCTCAACAGAATAATATACAGTAGTCTGTCATTAAATATCATAGAACAATGAATGCTGTATATAACTGAGACAAGTGACAATGAGACAGTAGATCAAAAAGTGCTGGGACATGTTCCTTTTTTATTTTATCTGTAGTGTTTCTGAATAAATGTAAAAACTTAAGTAGCTTGCAAGCATTTTTATATTGTTTACAATGAAAATTAAGTTTTGCAAAAATATGTATATTTGCTAAGCAGATCTTGAAGGTCAGCTTTATGAGTGTAATCAACAAATGTGCTTTAACATATATTTCAACCATGTCCGCAATTCTCTGTATGGTCTTTAAGAAGAAAATGGGCCAGGTTGAGAATTATTCGAGTTGGGCATGAACTTTGACATAGGATGTCTGTAGATGGACACATCTCATACTGAGAACAATGGGTGGTGAGATATCTGTGTGTCTTTAGTTGAACTGTATGCATCTGGGAGCCACTGCTATCTTCTATCTGACAGGGCTGATAAGTAGAGGTGGCATACAGACTGTTAAGGTTCTTCTTGGTTTATGTGTAAATCATGTAATAACTAGCAATTGGCACTGCAGAAATTTTCCAACTTGTTGAAAGACCCCTAGGTTCTCTAAAAAAAACACTTCAAATGCTCAGATGTTTTTGCTCTGCTGTTAGCCTCTACATGGACTGATAAGTGATGCTCAACATATATTGTATAGCCATATAGCCACACTTAACACTGCACTTGTCCCAGCAAAATATCCTTTTTATAAGCAGTACACTTACTACTTCTTCCACTCATGTGGCCATTTTGATTATCTTCAGTGACCAGGAACAGATCAAGATGTAATGTTCCTATCTCTTTGTGGCTTTTTACTATGAAGTGAGAGATTTAATTAAAAGCTGTTAAGAAAAACATCACTTTTCTGCTGCTAGGTACTTGGTAATGACAGTGTGAATTTAAAAAGTAATAGCGATTTCTACATTCTGTGGCAAGTAAAAACCCTTTTATGCGACATGGACTCTAACAGCGTGAGAAGCTAAACACTAAGTACAAGTGCTGTGCCCCATAGAAACCAATTAGTATTCAGTTTATTGAAGCCAGGCCAGTCTAGTATAGAATATTATCAGTTGCTGTGGGTACAGTATTTAGGATAGAAGGATAGAAATGTCTGGTATCATCCTATGCAACATGATCATCACATCATGGTGATCAATGATGTCATTTTATACCTTGTATTAACATCATCAAATAACCATTATCCCAACGTCATCTAAAGTCATGCCCAAAATAGCTCACTACCCTGGTCACTTCAAATTAATTCAAATATCTATACATATAAATTGTCTGGTATGCATTCAGATCTCTCCAACATATAAAAATATTTAATCAGATATGGCAAAATTGTGGTTTGCACATTTTAATAGGAAAAAACAAAACAAAGCTGTATTTAGCTTGTATTTAGGGCTTTATATATGCTGTACTTCCCAGTAAAACCTGCTTTGAGTGAGACACTCCAGTTGGTCACACTATATGAATGATTGATTAATGGAAGAAAACATAACCACTTAATGTCACACTTAGAGTAAGGCAATAAAAAGGAATTAGAGGGAAATCTCTTTGTGACTTGAATATTGTTTATGTACAGCTTCCTCGTATGGTGACTAGATTAGTAATATATTACAGCCTTCGTCTCTTTTTTATGCCAAATCAATAAAGTTATAAATGACTCCATCGGTGATTCGCTTACCTGTGTCTTGTATCTCTGTTTCTGATGTAAGAAATCAGGTTTGCAGCAGGAGAAGAAGCAGAAAATAAAAATTAGGTTTACAGAAAATGTAGAGCATATACTCAAACAGTTTACTACAGTAATAATATATTCTGCTACAGTGAAGTAATACGAAAACAATATCAAATAAAAGTTTTCTTGTTTTGTGGTAGTCAGACTTCAATGTCAGCTGGCAGTAGGTTTGGAAAAGTAATTCGTTGTATAAAGCATCCTATTATATGGATGGAGATTTCCTAGTTTAAGTATCTTCTGTCTTTTGCCGCATCTTCTGAATCAGACCTTTATTATCCTCTTTGGCAAGAATATCCAATATGAAAGTGACTGCATTATATTAAGTTAAAATGAAAGCATATCTAAAGTCAGAACCTTTTTTAGTTTTGGATAGAATGTGGAAGTGTTGGCCTCCATTCACATCTGAGTGATTTGTTGTGTATTTCCAAAAGTGGTATAACGGTCAACATGAAAGTTCCCATTATATTTAATGGTCCCCCTTCACACCTGAGCATTGTGCTGTTGCTTGTCACACAAAAATGTACATGCATTTTTTTCAGGCAAAACAACATATTTTTGGGCCCAATGGGAGTGCATGAAAATGAGCGCATTGTGTGCACATTTTTACATCTTTTTGTGCCTAACAACCAGTCTCCTCCTTCTAGAATCTGCAAGCCTGTGAACAAAATGGGGGAGTGTCCATGCTGGATGTGGGGACTTTCATCCACCTGGTGAGGACCCTAAGGAACTCCTATCTCCCTAGTGATGCCCATTACAAGAACTGTGACAAGAGGGAGAGGGCCAGGGAAAAAAATAGGTGTAAAGTTTCCAGACTGAGAGCTCTGACAGCACAAGACACCACAACACCATGAAAAAATTAGCAAAAAATGCTTCAAAATTGCCTGAAAATGCTCACGTTCAAGTGTGAATGGGGGCTGAAAACCCCTGTTGTCATTGTCTATACCTTGCTGGGGAGATTCACCCACTCCATTAGTGTTCAGTGGCGTAACAACCGGGGGGCGTTTGCCCCGGGCGCATAGATGGCAGGGGGGGCGCGGTCATTGCCCCTGTACAACAACCAGATATTGCCATTCCCTGGGTGATATATGTGTGTGTGTGTGGGGTGTGTACAGGGACAATAATGGCATGCTTGGACTTGTAGTTCCTTAGCTGATATATATGTGTGGGGGTGGGGGGTACAGTTCCAGTGGATGTTTATATAATATGGGGGGCGAAAAAAAATGTTCTGCCCCGGGCACCTATAACTCTGGTTACGCCACTGTTAGTCTTTGTCTGGCTATATATGTGTTAATGAAATCTGAATGATCCAGTTGTTTAGCAACCATACCAACTTAATGGGTTAAGCAAGGAAAACACGGCCTGATAATGACACATTATGATAATGACATGTATCCAAGCGGGCAATAACTGCAAAGAAAATTGTGCACTGCCCACACATGCAGATTATGAGCAAACTGGGTCTAAAACCACTTTCTTGGACTGGCCTGTAATCATTATTTTATTTTAAATATATACAGCTTTCTGTCTATATTGTTTTAATTCTATTTCAATTCTTGTTCAGAATGTAAAACATGTTGTTGTTTTGTCTAGTAATACCTCTCCTTAAAATATCAACATCACAAATCTCATTTAGCCAAAATGTGTTGTTATTTTGCCTTGTGCCAATTATTTAGTTAAGTCTGGCATGCCCAGAGTCGTGTTTTGCAATAATTATGCAGTATTTGGACACATGTAAAAAAATAAGCCGGTTATGTACAGGATTCCAAAACGCTGTTCCAAATGTTACCATTGGACGCTGTCTTGTATCCGGTTACTGTTAAAACAGTAACAGGATAGCCAGGCTTGTGAATATCTAATGCCTAAAAAAACAGTTCTATATAAGACAATGCAATCCAAATAGTTTGATGTGCTAGTAGAACCTTGTTAAAGTAGTAGCACAGATTGGCAGCATGATTTGCTAACCAGTGACAGTAAATTCTAAGAAAATGTTTAAATCGACATAACAGACCCTATAATTACTAATATACCCAAATAATTACCTGCAGCTTCACACAAGTGCAAGTACACACTGAATAGTTGCTGTTGGACATCCAGTGGTTTGATTTTTGAATAAAAGAGTCCGTTTGAAGCTATTAATGTTTAGTAAACATTAATTGGCTCCTGTTTGATTTAAAGAGTAAAGTGTTAATTACACAAACCTCTATGCCGTCCTTTCCGAGTCCTGGCTCTCTGCAAACTGTGCAGGAAGCTCATCGGTGCTTGTAGATCAATGCTTGTAGTCCATTCACATTCCACTTCCTGTCCCTGCTCTTCTATGCATGGGATTAGTTGCTGCAGTGAATGTCTACAGGACAGCGTTTTTCAGTAACTAATTCCCTTCATAAAAAAGCAGGGACAGGAAGTACGGTGTGTGCAGACTAGAAGCATTGACCTTATGACTAAACTCCCTTCATACTTTTCAGGGAGCTATAGCTTGGAAAGGACATCAGGAAGGTTGGTGTTAATTAGGTTGGTTTTAATTAAAGCTGAACTCCAGGCACAAAAGCTTTCATTCAGATATATTCCTCAATAGCCACTAAGGATATAAATCCACTTTGTGTGCACCAAATGCCTTTACAAACCCAGATATTGACTTACCTATATGGGTTTTCATGCATCATGCATTTTTAGGTTTGGCCAATGAGAATTAATTTCTTGCAGTGACATCATTGTTGTGAACTTTGGGAAGAATCTAATTCCTGAATTTCTGCATCAAGGAATCTGATCGCAATCTTTGCATTTACACCTCTTTTTGCAGCTGCTTAAACAGCTTCTGCTGCTTTCATGCTCCATTCACACGATTGGTTTTCTGCGCGTATTAGGCAATACGAATACACACGGAATCATGCTAAAGATAAAAAACAATGCATTGCAATGTGCATTGTTCACACTATTGCGCAGTATGAAACCATGTGTTCCCGAAAATAGTCCAAGTGCGATTTTATGGGCAGATTCTGGACGTTTCGGCTATAGTAATATAGCGCGTATGTTAACATTTGCACGGTTTTGTTCCGCACTGTTTTCCACATGAAAAAAAAAATGCTTGGAGAACACTACCGCTATATGTGAATTGAACCTTATTCAACGTCAGGAGAAACAGCAAAACAAGAGGCGTCGATATTGGATTCATCCAGTGATTGCAAATAGAGAGCAGAGTGGGTCATGTATAATGACCTCAAGGAACAAAAACATCTTCAATTAAAAGGTGATTTCAGAATATCAAACTATCAAAAATCAACATTGTCACCTTGTACTTTATTGACTGCTAACATTTTTTTTTTACAGTTTTTACCAGGGGCTGGAAAGGCATGAAAATGGATGCTCATGTGCTGCCATAGACATCTGCGGATCTCAAAGAGCATGAGAATGCACAGAAAAGGGCCATGCCTCATTTTCCAAAGTACAATGTATTGAGTTGATGTGAATGAATGCAGCAAGTAAAAAAAGAGAGAAGCCATGTCTCCTGGTCTGTGTACTTTCTCTATGTCAGTGTCAGGCAGAATTAAAACCTCTGGAACAGCATGACATCCAGACAGCTACCATTGTAAGAAGAAGAGGTGAACAGTGACAGCAACTATAGTTCTGTCAGCTCAAGTTTCCCAAAACACTTTATATGGTTGTTTCCTGGTTGGACAGATTAGAGTAAAACTTGTTACTTGCATTTTATTTCAGCATCTTGGCCTACTGCCTGTTACTTCAATGATTTCAGACTTACACAACCAAAATGTTTAAGTTTTCCTAAAAATATTTTTTAGACTATCCCTCCTGAGCGTTGAAGATGTATGATTATTTATGGGAAAGGCTATTACACAGAAGGTTTCTATCCATTTAGATTACATAAAGTGCACTTTTCAATAGCCATGATGTATAACTTCTGAATGGGACAATGCCAGGCTTACTCAGGAAGGCAAAGAGCACCATGCGGTAACCCACAGAAGAAGATGTCAGAGATCTGACTTTAGTACTGATTGCTATGGTTACTGGCTCTGCTCATATTGAATAATAAACTGAAAATTGTTTTTTGCATTGGTAAGTGCAGTGATGTTTTTCTTTTTACTTTTAACCCTTTTACTGCCATGGACATGCTTTCAGCAGGCCAACTTAGTAATCTTTACGTCCCTTGCATTCCCCTAGGCTATAAGCTCATGGTCACTTCAGTGACTATTTACTCATAACAGCAGGGTCTCCTAGATTCTTGTGATTCATGAATAGCTGTGATCAGCATCTGACAAGCCGTTGATCACAGCCATTCAAAATGTGAGCATTCTGCCACTGACATCCTCCCTGCTGTGTGCCTGCAATCAGATCCTTTCAGTGTACCCTACCCAATTCGCTGTCTACGCCATTTGTGTGCCTTTTGATCTTTGCTGTAGGTCCCAAGCCTCTACTGGCAGACATCAGGTTGTGGAGGGAATAAGATTGTGGGCACACATAAATAAAGCACACACTCTACACACGCATAACATAAATATGTACATTGTATACATTGTGGTAATGCATATTATGTGTGTTGGTGCACTGCGGCAAAGCACTAAAGAGCATGCATTATGGTACACATAACATGCGCTCACTGTGCACATATCTCTGGTGCGTTGTTATAATACATCACAGTACTGGATATTTTTCTTTTTTTAAGCTTTATTAAAATTACATGTTATCACATATTATCACAACTCACCTATGCAGCATATTAGTGTGAACAGGCCCTTTACAAAGCAAGGCGTTTTGCCTTGTCCAATGCAGGTGTAAACAAGCCTTAAGGCAATACACCTGTGCTGTAGCAGACTACAACACACAGCAACACAGTGCTATAAATAGGGATGCCAGTACACCTCAACTTATAAAATTTACACATGAACCTTTTTTTTCTATGCAACACAATGCACAGGTGGTTCCCACAACAGCGTACATGGACGGAAATGCAAATGTGT